AGCCGGGCGGCGGTGGGCATGGGCTGGCCGAGGCCCGGGGCTGGCGCTGCTCCTGCTGCCTGCTGGGCACCTGCTGGTGCAAGAGCTGCCTCAGCCTGTGTGTCCTGGCCGCCGTCTGCTTCGCCTCGCTGGCCGTGGTGCGCCAGTACCTGCGGGACCTGCTGCTCTGGGCCGAGAGCCTGGACAGCCTGGCCGGCGTGCTGCTCTTCACCGTGGGCTTCATCGTCGTGTCCTTCCCGTGCGGCTGGGGCTACATCCTGCTCAACGTGGCCGCCGGCTACCTCTACGGCTTCGTGCTGGGCATGGGGCTGATGGTGTTCGGCGTCCTCGTCGGCACCTTCGTCGCCCACGTGGCCTGCAAGCGGCTGTTGGCCCGCTGGGCACGGGCCAGGATCCAGGGCAGCGGGACGCTCAGTGCCATCGTCCGTGTCGTGGAGGGCGGCAGCGGCCTCAAGGTGGTGTTTCTGTCGCGGCTGACGCTGATCCCCTTCGGGGTGCAGAACGCCGTCTTCGCGGTGAGTCCCTGCCCGGGCTGTGCGGCCAAGGAAGACAAGTGCTGGAAAGATGTCTTTTGGCATAGTGCCTGCTCTTAGTGGTAGAAGTTGCCTCCTTTCCTGGGAACAAACCGTGGTTTCTCTCTTTTTTAACAGCAGTGAAAACAACCCTCTCTGCTTGCTCTTCTGTGCATGCAGAGGGACAGCAGGCAGATTTTTGAGATGCCTTGTTATGTTAGAGTTGCTCTCGTCTTTCAAGACTATGTTCTGGTGTTAGAATCACCAATGTGCTGCATAGCAAAATCTGTGGAGAGCTCAACAGTTATGAAGTGTCTGTGCTTTTTTAGTGATCCACTTTAAAACCTGGCAAGAGTTGAGGAAAACTGTTGCCAGATCTCCCTAAACTACTTAATATAAGTAATCATATTGGAAAGAAAGAAGTGGACAGATTAAAATTCTTTCTCGGTGTGGCTGGTGTTTGTACCATGCATCTGGCAAATCCGTACATGATATTAAGTCCGTGCACGTAAGACAGGTTGCGGGTTTTGGGCAGAGCAGGATGTAGCCTCAGACCTGAAAAGGGACTGTGCTTTAGAGTGGCACTGAAAGTTGGTTTAAACTTGAGTCTGGAAAAGGGTTAGTCTTGCTTTTCTTTCTACTTTCAGGTTAAGATTGGTCCATTAGTTTGGTCTCTTTGATCATCTTAAAGGAGAAAGTGAAGAAGAAAATGGAAGTTTTTTGAGTATTGTCACGTTGCTGATGACAATTTCAGACCCTCATTGCTTCCCGAGTACTTTGAGGGATCTGGCTTTGGCTGTGTTGTGCCTCAGTTGTATCTACAAACTTGATGAAATCTAAACAAAGCAAACTGGATTGTGACATAATTTAAGTGTTACCAGTAACTTGTATGTTCTTTAACTGTCTAAATACGTGTTTTGGTCTGCCACTTTCTTCTAGCCCACCTTCCTTTCCCTGTCTGCAGTCCCGATCCTGTACCCTTTTGAAGCACTTGCTTAGTTTTGACATAATCATCTGGCTGCAATTAATAGGTCACTGAATACCAAATTATTTTTTTTTTAAGTAAAATTTAATCCACACAGTTTTAGGCTGTAACATCCACACCAAATATTTTAAATAGCTGTGTATAAAACTGTGTGTACTGGAGCATTCATCTCCAGAGCTGTAACCTATCCATAAGAGCTATAGCAACTTGTAATTTCTTTTTAAGCAGATCCTTTAACCGTTTCCTTGTTAAGAATGAGAAACTGAAGAGCTGAACCTTTGCTGTTTTATTTGTTAACCTATATTATCGCAGGACTGAAGAGGCTAAGTCCTGTTCAGCTGGGAGCAGAATCCCTCCTGGAGCCCAAGGTCCAGTGTAGCAGATGAAGCTTCTGCTGTGCTGTGACCCTCCTAAGGTGGGGAGAGCTGTTGTGCTCTGGCTGCTCACAGCTTCAGGGTGTCACTTGCAGTAGTCAGCAGATGATATAGAGTAGTATTGGATCTGAAGAACAGACCAGAGAATTACCAAGTTAAAATTATTTCCTTCCTGGCATAACCCTTCTGTTAGAAAAACGATTCAGCAGACTTATTCGGGCCAGTTCAGTATTAAAATGGTGCTGTAAATCATTGTGGTTTGTATTCTCCATATTCTGCAGGCTAAATAATTTTGTTTCCAAGTGGATGGTTTCAGTGTTAAAATAATAGATAGGAAATGAGATGAAACCAGATGCATGAGTTATGCCAAGTAACTTGGATTTTTTTTTTTTGCTAATTTTAGTTTGGTTATGTTTATTAATCCTGATTTACTACTTTATGGCACAGTCAAATAAGGCACAGTGTATACCATATTTTTCATTGAGAACAGTTAATATGAGCTACTAGATCACTGAAAAGTGATGTATACAAATCTAGGAATTCAAGAGTTTCTCATTTTGAGTCAAGTTTAAGTTATGTAAAAAATACAGTTTTCAGCCTACACAGACCAAGCTGTCATTTCTCACTTATTTGAAAACTTAACACTCATTTTAAGTTTAAAATGCATTTCCCCATGCTAGCAACTTCAGCAATGAATTTGAAAAAGACTAATTTTTAAACAACAGTGATCTTAAGAAAAAGTACACATCTTTAATTTTCCAGTGGTCTAGTCTATGGATGTTTCCTGTGTGGATATTTTTATGTAAACTGGAGATACTGAGAATACTGAAATGAGACGGAAGGAAGTGACACCTGAGGTTCAGGGAAAGGCATAACCTTGGTGTGAGCAGGGTCATCTGCAGGACTGGGATTAAATGATTTCTACAGGCACTTATTTGGTGGCATATACCATCTGCTGTGGGCTTTCAGGAGGTTGACTTATGGGGGGTGTAGAGAAAGATGAAAGGGCTTCTTTAGGATTTGATTAGTGAGGTCATATAAATTCAATCATATAAATTCAATCATATAAATTGAAACAGCACAAGAAGAAAATTAACATAAATTCCTTAGCATCTCACCAGCCAGACATGAAGATCTTGCTTCTTAAAAGGTTGTTCTGCTGCTAGTAAAGGGGTGAGGTAATGCGTTTGCTTGCGTTTCTGGAATATAACACTTGCTAACTGAAAGCATGTTTGTATTTCTCTGTTGAGTGAGTTTTGCTTAATTATCACTTCTGATGCCAGAGTGGCCTGCTCCTGGGGTGGGTTGAAAGCTCTTACTGATGTGTTTGCCCACGCACAGCTCTCTCACCTTGGCAACTCTGGAGTGTTTTGAAGGCAGGTCTGTAAGGAGGCCTGGTATGCAGGTTATCATCTCCTTCCCACGAGTTTGTTCTTGGACTGAGATTTGTGCAAACTGGTTATTTGTAGTGCCAGATGTAGGTTAGATGGGATTTCATACTTTTTCCTACTTCTTTAAGGGGAATATTCCATTAAAGAATCTGATTTAAAAAATCTGAGTATTCAAGTGTGCACCTCTGGGTTCAGAAATGCATACAATGACGTCAGAGTTGAAGAAATGGTACCAAGAACATGCACACTGCTTCCTCCATTGGAAAGTTGGCAGCTAGTTTGGTTTTTTTGTATTTACTGGGGTTTTTTTTTTGAGGAGGTGGTATTGGCTTTTTTTTTGTGGGGGGGAGTTTTGTTTTGGGCTTTTTTTTTGAGGAAAAAGCACCAGAGTTCTCTTTTACCCTTGGTCACTAAGCCCACCTGTTCTGAAGCACAGGGATTTGTAAATTGGGGGAAGAGAAAATTGTACTGCAACCCCTAAAGGCATGGGAGCCCCCAGAAAAGTCGTGACAGAAGCATTTATTCTTTGACAGTGCTGAACCAAAGGTGCCAGCTGCAAAGAATGCACAAAAGTTCCATGGGACAAAGTTCGTCCAAGGCTTTATGGGGGAGTTTCTGGTTATTGTTATCAGTGCAATTAGGTAGTTCTTAATTGCATTTGAATACAATTTAAGTGCATTTCTGTTATGGCCCATAGCACAATTGCATCCATGTTTGGTTTTTAATTTTTTTTTTTTATTTTTGCTGGCTTGAGCTTTTAACAGAAACAGAGCCCTGGTATGCTCTTTTAGGAAGCCTGGCCATGCAGATACCAGTCTGGCAGGTTCATAGAACAGGTTAAGTTCCTAGAAAGAAAGTATGGAAATCTGTAAGTTTTATTTTTTTCTCAAGTTTCTTAGTCAGGGATGCTGTCCACTTCCCTTGCATTCTGGGGAAAGGGATACAAGTGTAGCTGTAAACCTACAGTATAGTTAAAAGGACATCTCAAAAAGTTTTCTACCCTCTCCTTAGCTTTCATTGCAGTGGGAAAACAAGCTGCAATTCAGTGTATCCGCTGGGGCAGTCTCCCCTTCATTTGGAAACAATCTCATTCATGACTCAGGGGGTCCAGTTGTTTCAGGACACATCCAGGTGTGCAGACATGTTGTTCTGCAGCTCAAGTGTCCTTAATACAGCTACAGAAATGAGAGAGGTGCCAGGAGTGTTAAAGCAATCTTTGGGAAGTTTCCCAGCTCCATTAGATGTAATGATAGTGTCCTACTTAGCAAATCTTGCCTCTGCGTTAGTATTTCAGAAACTTTTAATAGCAGCTCCTTCATTCCCTTGGCAATATGGGAAGTTCGGACTGTGCATTCTTATTACATGGCCCAGATTACAACAATGCTTTAAAAAGTCTTTTGAAAGTATTGGTCAAATGTGAAGTCCTGACATAATTATGTAATCTTTTTTCATTATAAATCTAAATTAATCTTGTCTAGAGAAGGAAATATAATATTTGTGATGCTGGTATATATTTCAGTCTGTGGGAAGTATAATATGCAGTGTGAAGTTTGGAAATGGCTTATTGGATCTTGTTCCAGTGAATTATTCTTAATCTTTATGCTTCATTGCATTCTGCTCCTCCATTGCCCTTCCTCCCAAAAACTTTCCACTGATGATGCTTAGTGCTCTGAGAATTCAGCCCTCTGACTTTCACAGTAACTAAAGTTTATTTTAAGAATAGCATGATGAAATGAGTAACATTGCTGCTATTCTTTGGTCTTCAACATTGTACAAAACTGGCAAGGTCAATAATTTCCATGTAGGCTCTCAGTGTTGTTCCATGTAGGCTGTTCTTAATTAGATCTGTTATTATCAACAGAATTGTCTGGAAAATTTGTTGGACTGCTTGTTTTCAAAATCATTGTTTTCATACTAATTTTTGACCCAGTTTCCTCTTGTTTTCTTTTCTCTTGTGTAAATATCTTTTTCTCTCATGGCACTTACCTTTAATATTTCCTGATGGCTGCTGATTCTAATTTAGCTGGTACTGTGTAGTTTGTTGCTGTGTAAGCTCATACGTCCATCTATTGACGCAGTACAGGAACTTCACAGCAAAGAAGAAAAACACCAAGTATTATTAGTATTTTCTCCAGAGAAATTAATAAAACCTATAGCTGTGTGTACTGTTTTGTTCACTAATTGAAGTGAGATGCAAAATACTTTGGTAGACAATGATACTTATATATATCAGTATAGATATAGATGGATATTGTCATTAGGGATCACTGAAAGATGTGTATCTTAATAAACTCATAACTTGCCCAGCACAGACAAATTGTATCTGCCATTCTGTTTACCTGGATCATATTTAACACAGTGACATTTTGACCAATTACCTCTTGTATTATTTACCATATACATAAAATGAAAAACAGTTATATTTTTGCATTCAACCTTCACATTCAATAAAGTAATTTCTTCTCATAAGTAAATTCTCATAAATCCAAGGGCTCTGTTTACCAGGTAAAAATAAATATCTCCTGTGAACAGTGTAATTGCACCCCTAGTTAATGACTGTTGCACAGAGATGTTGCGTAATGAAAGGTGAAATTAAATCAAACCCAGTAACTTCAAAAAAGCCAGATGAAAACTAGATACATACTGTTTCATTCTATTGTCTTCCCCCTGTGCATGAATCAAAGTTTCAGCGAAGGAATGTAGGATATTCTTTCATGATTTTGCAGAGATGGTTGTGGGAAGTGGTAGTTTGGTTGTTTGGTTGTTTGTGTTGCAGCTCCTTTTGATTTCTTACTCTTGCTTTTTACTCAGATTACAGATTTATCACTACCCAACTACCTGATGGCTTCTTCACTTGGGCTGCTCCCTACTCAGCTCCTGAACTCGTACTTGGGCACTACCTTGCGCACCATGGAGGATGTGATTGCAGAACAAAGTGTTAGTGGCTATTTTGTATTTGGTTTACAGGTCAGTTAAAATAATTGCTTTCACAGAACTTGGTAATAGTACTGTCTGTCTCTGGGATTTCTGTTGATTGCTAGATACCAAGAAACATGGGTTCCTAGTGTAGTGTTCCTAGATTTTGTTTTATGCTCTGAGAAAAGTGTAATTCTCTCACACTTCACCATAACACAAAGCAGAACTTACTCAGTGTTCTCTTTTTCTGACACAGTTTTTGGTAAATTTTCTTCTCTTGCCTTCTAGGGTAATCTTCTGCTGAATTTTAGACTTGTCAAGCCACTCCTACACAAAAGCTTATGCGTGTGTAGACCTAACACCTGTGCAGTGTTCACTGATAGCACTCAGCATACCCAGTTTGCATGGATATTCAGGATTAAAAATGCTGCAGAGTACTATTTTCTTAATGTCTAAATCAGAATATCTGAATTTTACAAGTGAGTAAATTAATGAGAAGTATATCAAGTACCTTTACATGACCTTAGCTCTTGAAATAATTATATCAGTAAATACTGGGTGTAAGCTTTAAATGTGAGACCATTATGAGCATAGAGGCTATGGGTATTTCAGAATTACATTATATGTTAAAAACTCCTCTGACAGTGCAGTTCTTCAAGCTATGATTGTCTAACAATTACCATAGTTTGCAGACTTTTAGTAGGTAGTGCAGTAATTTCTGGTTCCTCAGTTTTTACAGTCATAAAGCTGACATTTAACAATGCTAACATAGAAAACCAAGTCTAAGATCCTTTTGAACATACCTTCCCCCTTGCCCAGAAAATTGTGTGCTTCTAAATAGGACATATAATTTATAGCTTTCATGGAACATGGTTATGAGTATTAAAAATGCCTTTGTAAGTGTGGCATAGATAGTCTTGATAGGTTAAAGAGAGCATAAATGCTTTTCTTGATCAGCTGTTATTTTAGTCATGAAATGTTATTTCCAGGGTAGTAGTTTTTAGTGGTCTTTTCCTTTTTTCCCCCATTTATATATATTATTTTTAACTGACATTGACTCTCCTTTGCAGATTATATAGGTGTAACATAATTGTTACACAGGTAAGTGGTGGCTGGATAGCCTGAATGTTTTAAAAGGAGTACTAACCTCCTTGAAACTAGTCTTTGGAATGTGACTGAATAACTGAAGGGGAGGCCTTTTGTGGAGAAATTTGCATTCTCCTGCTGTCTCTGAGGCACCTGCTGACTCCTTTACCTGGATGGGCTTTGATGAGACTTTGATTTAGTAAATAGCTCTGAAATTCCTTCACATTTTATAGTTGTCTATGTATATATATATTTGATTATTTATCTAGGGAAGTAGGTTACTGGTAGTAATATTTCTAAACCAAATAAAATTTAAATATTTGGATAAGCTTGTAGAATAGAAATTTCCTATCTATTAAAAAAATTAGTGTCTATAGTATCACTGTGAATCTTATATTGGCTGGCTTTTGAAATGTGTAATTTTAATTGGTGAGGAATCTCATTTTCACCACAAGGGTAGTCAATCACTGGAGCAGCGTGCCCAGAGAAGTGGTTAAATCTCTATCCTTTTACCATTTTCAAGACCTGACTGGACAAAAGTTCTGAGAAACCTCTTCTTATCTTACAGCCAGCCCTGCTCTGAGCAGCTGGTTGGGCTAGAGACTGCCAGGGTGCCTTCCAGCTGCAGTTGTCCTGTGCTCATGCTTGTCAGTTGCCTTAGTCAGTGATATTCCAGCACCATCTGCCATGCTGACAGGTGTTTTAAGCAATAGTCCTCAGTGTTAAAGAGAACATAGCCCTACGGTTAGTAACAAAGTTCAGGTTTCAGACTCAGAACTCAAGGTTCTGTTGCAAGTAATATAACTTCTTTGCCTTTTTGAAAGGAAGTTGCAGATTTCAAGTTAAAGTTCTTTTAAAAAGGCAGAGGAACTTTGCTTCTTTCAAAGGGATTCTCACTATGAGACACCTTGATTTTTACTTGAAGATTCTGTGGGTTTTTTTTCTAAGGAGGATCTCAGCTAAAAACTTGACTGGTGTTCAAGAAGAAGGTGAAAGGATGACTTTATAACAAGTATATGGATTTTAACAGAAAGAAAGAAACTTATCTTTTCAATTTATATAAATATTTTAAGTTCTTTGTAATGTTTGTGTTCTGGTTTGCTGGTTACATTGTTAGCAACATATGTAGGTTTAGTTACATATGTAGGTTTAGAGCTTCTCAGGGGCTAAGTTCATCTCCCTTCCAGTGTCTTCTTGCCTGTGAAGCTTTGAGTCAACAGATGCCTTCATGAATGTTTGCACTGACAACTCTGTTTCATTCAGATCACTTGCTTTGTATTAATTCCCACAGCCTTTGCAGCCTACAACACTCTTGTTTTATTTGCAGATTGTCATAAGCATAGGACTCTCGTTTTATGTCGTTCACCGGGCTCAAGTGGAACTCAATGCAGCTATTGTAGCGTGTGAAATGGAAATGAAGACATCACTTGTTAAAGACACTCAGCCAAGCATCAATGGCTCAACCACATACTGCAACAAGAGGACAGTAGCATTCTCTGGAGGGGGTGTCAATATTGTGTGATTTCAAGTATTAATGACTAAGAAAGGTTTTGTGAACCTGAACTAGAAATGTCTTGAACCTTGCCTAGAAATATCTATGGACAATTGAAATAGATTTTAAAAAAATTACAAGTGATTACAGGTTGTACTGTGGCACAAACCAGCTGACCAGCTCTTTAATTGCACATGGGGTGACTTCTGGCAAGACAAGGAAGATGGCAAAGTAACTTAAGATGTAAATGCAAATTTGGCTGCACCTTTGGTCATTTATTATGCCTGTCATGGCCTGTAGTCTGCACTTTAGGTTTTTTTTTCCTTTGCTTCTATAAGCTGAGAAATGCTTCTATAAACAGAAAAGTAGAATTTACAGAGGTAAATATTTTTCTGCTTAGCATTATTTATAAGGCTAAATAATTATATACAGTAAAATTTTATTACTGATAAAGGTGATTGAGAAAGTATGCAATTCAATGTATGTTATTCTTGAATGTGCTTTTGCTTTGGAATTGCTTCCAGAACTTGGAGTGTATTATTTAGCTAATGATGGGACCATTTGGCTTTTTCTTCATTTTTGATTTAAAAAAAAAAACAACAAAAACCCTATATAAAGTTTTGGTTGAATGTATTTTTCTAAGTCATTACAAATGTTGCAGAGCCATGCAAATGTATTCACACAAGCTTAAATCCTACATTGTGGGACTGAAGTGCTCTTAAATTACATTTTAAGTTACACTGTGTAATATGCAAAGTACAAGGGAAAATGCAGAAGTTAGATTACAATGACTATTTGAATGACACTTAATTGGTTTTGCCACCTTGGTTGTTGTAACAAAGGGCTGTTCCACGTTAGTCCTATATATGATATTTTTAATTGTTAAAAGGATGAAGTTTTTCAGCTCTCATGACTGCATGTGATAAGGCTTCTAGAACAGGGAGCTAAATCTCTGTTCTAAGCAGAATGATGGGATATTAGCTGTACTAATTTTACAAGAAGGTGGCCTTTATTTTGTAAGTGAATCCCTTTTCCCTTTAAAAAGCTTTAAAAATTCACTTTGGTTGGCACATCTTTTGTACTAGTTTTACATTTTTTAAAAGACGCAATCTATTACAAATTTCATCAGAGTGAAGAAACAAAAACTTAGAGGTTCTCCTTGGAAAAAGAAATAATCCAGTAGTGGAAAGGACAGCAATGTCTCTGAGACTCAGGAATTCTGACTCCATTTTTGCAAGACAACACTGTATTGGATACTGCTCCTTTTACGCCTGCTGTGGACTTTTTTCACTGCATTTAAATAGACTGGATAACCTGACAGTAACTGGTGTGTGTGTCTAAAAGAAAAACAACAATAATGCCTGAACACAATGTTCTGTATGTGTGAGTTTCATGTAGATATACATACCAATGTTCAATGGCTCAAACACACGCAAGTCATCTGATACAAAAATAATGTAAAGTATGGCTTTTGTAGTTATTTTGTGTGAAAGGATGCTTTCAGTCTTCAAAATTTTATGTTATTTTCTAACAGTATGACTGTGCCTCCTTTTTGTAAGGTTGGTTGTAGGGTCCAAGCATTTTTGTCTTCTTGAGAATAGTGGGTCTTTAAGGCCATTTGGAAGCAGAGATGCGAGAGCCTCTAACAGCCTTACTGAGAGGATGTGTGGCACTCGTTTAACAACATCTGCGCATCCTTTGCAGATTGGTGTTCTTGGGTCCTGCAACCCAAAGAACTGAACTAGTTCAATGAAAGCAACAAAGTTCAGATTGTCTCCTTTCTGTTGTTTTGGCCTTGGTTTGGTTTTTTTTCAGTTGGGTGTTTGTTTGGTTTTTCTTCGGTTTTGGTTTCTGGCTTCATTTGGTTTTGGGTTGAGTTTTGATTGGTTGGTTGGTTTTTGAAAAGGCAATCTGTATATACCTGGAAGTGTTCATTTACACATCTCTGCCTCTGACAGCTCCTGTGTGAAAACAAGAGAGCCAGATAACTTCTCGATGGCGTTATTTGTCATCATAGTATAATTGAGTCCTTTCTTAACTAAAGAGGTTTTTTTTTGTTAGTTTCTTGTAAAGAACAGTCCTTCAGTGAACTGATCTGAACTTTGCTCCATCTTGCCAAATGAAAAATTCTGTTTTGAAGAGGGTATCTCTTTCTTTGCATTTTTTAACTAACTTAAGGTTGCGTTGTTTATTCAAAACATTTCCCAAATATGTATTTTGAAGTGCTTTTATTTCCATGACATTTTGTAACCAGAGTAACTTCACTATGTGAACACTTTTGTAGTATGAAATTAGTTCTTAAGACTTTTGCATTTTGCTTGATACTTGTAATATTTGTGTACAAGTTAATGGGAAATGTGCATTAAAAGGAACTTTTCTGTACCATGCCAATCATAATTTTATACAATAAATTCACTCAAATTTCTTTAAAGGAATATGTATGAAATGTTTAAATTGCTATGATGTAGTTGGAAAGAAGGTCCAGTGGAGTCTCATCTTTATGCAGCCATACAAAGATAATTGTCTGCATCAAAGGAGAAACAGGTTAGACTTTAAGGATGAATTCCATGGGTGGGGAGTCACTGGCAAGGGAAATATACTTGATTTTTACTTTTGTTTAACTAAATACATGCTTAATTCTATTAGACACTTCAGAGGTTTGGTACTTGCAACTGCCTTTTTGATAGAGGAATAAGAATACATGTGCTTATGAGAAACATGCTAGAAAACTGCAAGAGGATTCATATTTCTGAACATAACAGCAGTAAAAGTGATAGAATTATTATTTTTTCAGGATAGGCTCCCTGCCTAGTCTAGTTAAAATCCACAAAGGTGGTGAATCTAATTTAAGCAGTATATGGCAAGTCACCTTGAAGAATATTTTCTGAGTTGTCACTGTGGTGACATTTCTACATTTTGTATATGAAAGATACCTAAAGGGCAGGTTGTAAAGAATCTCAGCTGCATGGCACCGGTTTTCCTTCTGCCTTGTGGTAAGTGCAACTGCGCAGTAAATTTGTCAAAATATAACTTATAACTAAGCATCTGTGAGAAAAACCTTTTTTAGTCCCAGAGCTTTATATACTATTTTCATACTGATTTTTGCACAATAACTTGAGCAAGCATTGCTGAGGTCAAGTTTGAAGAATGGAAAAGCTGCTCTTAGATGGTGTGTAGCTTTTTTTCCCCATACCAGATCCTTTGCATCCATTTTCAGCTTTCTTCCTGAGGCTGATACAATTTGAATTTTGACTGAGATAACTGGAGTCAGTTGTCTTGCGAGTTATCAAGGATACAATGTGTAAGATTGCAAAAGCCTTCCCATTCGCACTGTGGTAATTTTTAAAGGCACAAGGAAAGAACTTGGGTAGCTCTATGACAGGCTTTCTCACACTAATTCAAGGTTGGTACTAACCTGTCTGCATAAGATGATGGTTTGGGCATGAGGGGATAGGAATCAATTGCAGAAGAGGAGCTGATGCAGATTCTGGCTCTGCTGTGCAAAGCAGCTTGTCTCTGTCCTCTCCAGTCCTGGAGAATTAGTGATGTGCCTGGCAACACAGAGGTGATGAATCCAACAAATTCTCTCTTCATGGACATTAGCATTTGTCTTGCACTACCCTGCTGTATTGATTTTTAATTCATATTAATTTATTAGTGATAAGTAGCAAGAAGCTGAGTCTGCAGTGTCAACCCTGTCCCTTTCCTAATACAATATATCATCCTGGTGTATTGCTAAACTTAAAATTACATTTTAATCAAGTCTTAAGTTCATTAGTGTAAGTTAAATCCTCCTTGCTAGCCAAGTGACTAATGCATAGTTGGTTTGCTCTGGATTCTCAATTCATTTGGGAAATTAGCTGGGCCAGATTTGCTGTTGTTGAAGTGAAAAGTCCTGTAACTTTCCTTCTAATTATTTAGAGTTTCAGATGCATTGCTAAAGAAATTAGCAGAGCAGGCTTAATGTACTGGGGGTTTTGCTTTGTTTTAGAACAAAAGTCATTGGCAAGATAGCTGAAGGGTTTGTTTTGCCTGATCCTGAGACGAATATTAGGTGTCTTCCTTTTTGGGAAGCAGTGTTTCCAAGATGTAGCCCACATAAGCTTATGTCAGCAAAGGTAATTAAGTTCTGGCTTTGGTGAAGAGGATGTAAAACTTGGATCACCTAGTCAGTGTGACAAGTCTTTTTTTATCATACAGTCTCCAGCCCAGCACAGTTTGGCTTTGGTGACTGCAGTGCATTGCTTCCCATCCCTCCTCTGCAGGGGGAAGAATTTAGAAAGCTGCAAGTTGTTGAAGCTGAAGGGGAAGAAATAATCATCTGAGCACAGTGGACACAGTTTGAAGAGTTAAATTAACCATAATGTTGCCTGACCTTTGAATACACCTAAGTGCCTTAGTTTTGTAATTGCCAAATCCTTAGGCAACTTCTGCTTCTTTCTCTTCTAGAGAATTCTAGCATGCTTTGACTTTTAGACCTCTTAACTTCTGAAATAATGCTGACTTTTCTGTAAATTAGAATGGTTTAGTTTGTCCCTATAACAGGGTGAGATCACCTGGGATACGAATCTGTGTACCAAGCGGCGTTCGTGCGTGAGCTCCCTTTGCTGAATGTGAGGTGTTACCCTGTGTTCCCTGTAAGCTGCAACTGCTTCCCTTCAAGTCCATGGGTGGGTGGGTGG